TGTTATTCATGTATTAATATATTAAAATGAGATGCAAAAAGCCTTGTCACTACAGATTGTTTCTACTAAATTTAATGTTGGTCACAGACAGGCAAGCACGGTATGTTTACTACAATATTCACCTTTAACTTTGCTTTTACTGTAAATCTATATTTTCTCGAATTTTATGAATGTGATTGTGTATTAAAATATTTCTCCTAAAATTCTGCGCGTATCGTTGGTTCAGTAGCTCTGTTGCCGGTTGTATATAAAAACAGTTCAACGAATAACTTTGCAGTTTGAGCTGTTGATATCACAGAGACCTTTTATACTATAAGTATAACAGTATTTTAGTAAAATTTGATAGTCATGTGATAGCTGATAGCTGCATAAAAGCTAAGCAAGTACTTTTGATGTTTTGATATCATTGTATAGTTGAAATAGAATAGATAAGTGATCTGTATATTAGTATATATGGGAATATTAATTTTCAACCATACTTGGCAGTTGGGTTCTGTTATTATGTTCAATTATTTTCACTGTGATTTATTAAATACTGGGTATTACTGTATATGCCTGCTAAGCCCTGCTTACTGTATTAAAGTATAGTAGTTGGTGGTATTATTTGATCAATACTGCTTTATGGCATTACATAGAATGTAGTAAATTAAAAATATGATAACATTTCAGATAATCAGGCTTACATACTTGTATGTTGATGTCAGTTGCAAATATAATGCCAAACTCATAGAATATATAGTGAGTATTGTGAGTCTAGCTAAAGAACTTTGATTGAGAGTATTTGTATTTTACTGATGTGAAACTGTGCCGGTTTTTATTGCAAAATAGGGTGAGTTTAGGCGAGTTAAGAAAAATTCTGTCAACTTATCATTGCGAGATAAGGCGAGATTGGGCGAGTTAAGCAAAATTCGATCAATTGCTATTGCGAGATAGGGCGAGATAAGGCGAGTTAGGGCGAGTTAATGTCCCAGAGTAGGCCTCTCAAAATACCTAGAATTTTAGAGAACTGTAGGGAGCCACCTTAAGTAGAACGGCCCACAGTAGTTGGCATATGCTGTTGTGCGGTGACCCTGGCCCAGTTGGCAAAGCTGAATAAATAAAAAAAATAAACTGGCATGGTCAGCACCTCACACGTCCAGCCGTTCCTCAAGGATGGACCGACTTGAGGACACGGCTGGTAATAGGGCCTTAGTCACCATCCTGAAGAAAACGCTTAGCAATGGGATTCGCGCTTTTAGAAAATATTTTCGGGAAGTGTTCGCAAACGTAGTCGGAAAATTTCTCTCCCGTCAAGCGTTCAAAGAATTGATCGCAAGCTATCACTCCTTTTCCATACGCGATATACACGTGGTAATTATCCCATTAATTAAAAGTAATTACCACTAACAATAGACAGTTTTAGATCGAGGATGCGGACGTCAAAGACGTGAAAATGTCGGCAAAATGGCGTGGCATATCCATACATGGACACAACACGTCATTTTCACGTCGTCTTTGACGTCCGCGTCCTAGATCTAAATCTGTCTATTCGCTATGGTTAAAGACGATGCCTAGAAGCGTGGCATATAAATACGAGTAATCATGGTTTGAATAGGGATGACGCTGCCTATTTGCCAGAGGAATACATGTATCTTATTGGCAGATGATGTCATCTCATGTGTATTTAAGAAACCCCATTGCAACTTTAGATCACCTCTAATGAAGACACTAGACTGGAGTGTCAAAACGTGGGGTCTTGATTACAATTCGACTAAGCTTTGTATTCATTTCTATAAACCAGAGTAGCGAGCGAAAACATAATTGATACACCTGGTTGCCGTGAACGAACAATGAAACTTTAATTAAAGGTAGCGGTAGTTGTGCAACTATAATTTTACCGTTGATTGAAGTACTCAAAAAATTTAACTACTTGAGATAAGAATTATTAAATATAATAATATTAAGCAAATGATGATATAATAGTAATCCGCTGTAAAATCATCATTATTTTTTCAACTTTGAAAGTGAGCAAAGCAGAAGCGAGCGGTGCAGTTAGTGAGCAGAAGATATATCCATACTCTATTAAAAGCAGCATCCATTATTTAACGCAATCTGGTCGGTATCGCAATCAAAGCTACCAAAGAACATTTTCAACTTTACAATTCGCTATATGAATAATACCCTTCCTACCCGAAAGAACCTCAGTAGATGGGGAATTTCATCAAGTTCTGACTGCTCGTTCTGCTTACACCCTGAATCACTTCTGCACGTTGTTGCCGGTTGTCAACATTACTTGGAACGATTTACTTGGAGACACGATTGCATACTAAAGTTTCTTGCAAAAACCTTTCAAAGTTTAAACGAATGCAAATTACTTGTTGATCTTCCTGGATTTGAAAGCCCCTCGATTATTACGGGTGATGAATATCGTCCTGATTTACTTGTCTCCACTTCAGACAAACACCTCTACGTTGTTGAACTTACCGTAGGCTTTGAATCAAACCTCACAAACAATGTTAACCGCAAGAAAGCTAAATATAAGGACCTAATTAGAGAACTAGATCAAAACTTTACATCTGTTAAATTTATAAATCTTTCAGTCAGTTCGCTAGGGGTGTCTGACAAAGAATGCCATACATTCGTAAAAATGCTAAATGAGTTAGGACTGGATAATCAACACCAACAATATTGTATCAGAAAAATGATATCTATTTCCATCCGATCAACGTACTACATATTTTGCTGTAGAAATAAAGAATGGACAAATCCCGAACTAATGAACATTTAAAGTAACTATTTCTATAAATAATTAACAATTTTTGTATATAAAACTATAACCACGTAGAAGTGATTCAAGTAGTCAATTGTAGGTTACCTCAAGAAGTGAGATTTACAATTGTATATATCTATAAATGTTCTATTAATAAAGTTTTCATTATAAACTTTATTTTGACACCGTAAAATCATCAGTAAAAATTTATATAATATAGATGTATATAAAGTATAGAAAAAGGAGGAAAAGGAAAAAAATACAAATGCTATTTACAAAAGACAGAATAGTATTGATTTACATGATTGCCGTGGGTGAATCTAAGCTAACCTAGATTCTAGACCTCGTTTAAAAGCACCAAGAGATTGTGCCGAACGAAGTTCAGTTGGTAAACCATTCTATAAAACAGCTCCATCGTAGCTGAGTGAGCGCTTAAGATAATCTGTATGTGGCTTAGGGACAAATAATGTATTTTCATTGTTTCTCAATCTGTAAGGACAAGATCGCGAAGTAAATATGTCCTGTAGATATTCAGGAACCCTCTTGTTTATAATTTTATACATAAGAATTGCTTTAAGCTTTTTGCGATTAATAGATAACTGGTGCCAGTTTAACTCCTCCAGTAAATAATTCGACGAGTTTTCATATGTGCTTTCGGTGATCATACGAGCAGCACGGTTTTGTAACTTTTGTAACTTGTTGCTGCTCGCTGCCGATACCGTCCGAAACGGGCAGCAGTAATTAAGTATACGGGCAGCAGTAATTAAGGTAAGGCTCAATTAAGCCTCTTACGCTTTCACTGCAGTTTCCCTGTCTACAAATCGCCTCACTCGTTTGAGGGCACCAATTCCTGAGGGTACATTTTTACAGATAGTATCAATACGGTTCTTCCAAGTTAAATTTTCATCAATGGTTACACCTAAGGATTTCGTGTACTGTACTCTTTCAATTTGAGTGTTATCTACGCATATATTAAGAGCCAATGACCATGAATTCATTTTTAGTAATATTTAAGCTTAATCTGTTCGCATTGAGCCAGGTGTTTAAACTACTCAGCTCGGTGTTCATAATTTCTTCAAGATCAGAAATATTAGAGCTTTGGAAGCTAATATTTGTGTTATCCGCGTATATACTCGATAAGCCATTGTTCAGACAGTTTGGCAAGTCATTGATATAGACCAAGAATAAAAGGGGACCTATTATTGAACCTTGGGGACACCGTAAATGATTGGTCGATTACTGGATAGATGTCCATTTACACAACATCTTTGTGTACGATCGGTTAGATAAGAGTGTAACCATGTTAATGAGTTTTCATCAACCCCGTACTGAGCGATAGATACATAAAGACAATCGGCAGAAAAAGTTATTGAGACAACAACATAAATGCCCTAGCCTCTCACCCTGAATTCATTGTTGTCTGAATGATTGAAAAGAGAAAATTTATCAACATTGATGATGGAGGCAGGCGGAGGCCGACGTACTTTTATATGGACAAAAACGTGAAAAGTCTAATTATTTATGCATGCATTTTTTGCCGGATATGATAGATTTATAAAACATAATAAATACTGGGTATGATCAGATCACAGGATGCTATAGAATTTCTGAAAATCTGTTTAGCGGAAGACAATAATATTTCTTGATATCCCGACTACACAACAATTATTAAGATTGTAATTTAGAACAAAGATTAAAAAATTAACCTTGAAACAAAATATACATTACCATGAAGAACAATTATAAAAAATAAATACAAGCAAGGTCCATTCAATAAACGGTCCATTCAATAAATCTGATAGTTATTAATTTTTAAAACAATTAATTAAACGTAATTATACCTTACGAAGAAATCTGACCATTTTGAAGGAAATAGAAGTCACTTGAGACAAATTATTTGATCAATAAGTGTCGACATGGGTACAGGCCGGTGTTTCAATCATCTCAAAATTACTTGGAAATCGCGCAAGCAATCAGCGTCCTTACTGTTCACACTAACTTGAATGGAAAGTTAGCTCTTCACTACTCTATATGGCATGCCCGAATTTCGCTGAGAATGAGTGCTAAAACACAACTACACAGGTCACAAATTAATTTGAAAATACTTGACTTTTACCGTATTTTCTAATGAACTCAACTACTGGTGTGGTCAGAGCCACTCAACGATGGCTCTGGGTACTAACTAGATAGATGTTTCCCTCATGGAAGAGATGTGGGACGAAAATGTCAAGTTCTCTAACAAATGATGAATATGTTTTCAGGAGAACCATGTCCAGTTGTTCCATGTGGTCCTTTGACGTACTGTAGGAATGTCAATGGTTCTCATTCATGTCAGTGTGATTTGGGATTCACACATGATGGACAGTCTTGTACAGGTACAGTTATGTAATTAATACTACGTATTTTCATATGAAGGCTGTAATTAGAATATTTATTGCGAAGTACTCTTCAAATGGATATATCGGTACGCGCTGGGCCTGCGTGGCAGGCGAAGGAAATACCGCCTGCCGCAAAACTGGGTATAAATGAATTACCGCCCCTGACAGCATCAAAACTTTTATAAATGTCATTCATTACTGCAAGTAATATTCAAAATTAGCCACTCCCTTCCTATTGGACTTTATGTAGCGGCCCCTCCTTAACTTGCAATTCAACATTTATATCTATTTAAAGACGTGACATTCGTGCTACTAAGGACCGCGCCTTAATTAACGTTGTTTTTGTAATCAGTCGAAGTTTACGAAGTTGTTAGAAAAAGCCTAAACGTATACGAGTCCTACACAAACGTAAGTTTACTTTATTATTCATATTTAATTGTATTTAGTCAGTTTATTTTGTTTATAATTCCGTGCAGTGTGTAATCGTAGTTTTACTATAGTTTTGTATTGTACTGTATTGTTTATAATATTGTATTGTATTTTAGTTTGACGGTATTTAATCAATGAAGGAATAAACGTATTCAGCAATATTACTATTCCGCCGTAGAAGATGTAGGACGGCTATACACACACAGTTTCACGGTACACACGCTGTTATAGTCAAAGTTTATGAGTTTTATATTATCCAAATATATTATTGTCGTATCCATTACAGTTGTTTATGTGTTCAATACATATTAATTATGTCGCGGACAAAAGCAAAACTAGACATTTTCTCTGAGAATTTGATTGCATTCGAGCGTTGCCACTTAAAATTTTTCAGTTTTTTACAAATTGAAATTAAAAAATTAAAGACAATTAAAGTAAAATAAAATGTTAATGTAAAAGTAAATGTAAATACCACTCACAAACTCAAATAAAGTTAAATTTTTTTTCATTTTCATTCCAGCAATTTAAAATAAAATTCATTCCAAATACAACTTCAACTGAAAACTAAAGTTATATTCAAAGTGAAATGCAAACAAAAATAACAGCGGCCACAGCGCTCTGTGGCCGAGCTCAGTGAAATGCAAACAAAAATAACTCGGCCACAGCGCTCTGTGGCCGTGCGCTGCCACTACCATGATGCCATGCGCGCGTGAAAAATTTTATATCATTATATGTAGTCCGATCACCTACTGTATCCATCAACTCATCGAGCACATGGAAAGTGCAAACATCACAATCTGGTGGTACATCTGCTGGTGATTCTGGTATTGCGGATGATCTCTTGGCTTCAACTGGCGAAATTTATAAATCCCTTTGTTCTTTAAAGACAGGGAAAGCCCCGGGACCGGATGGAATCCCGAATGTAATTCTAAAAACGTTTGCCTTTGAGTTAGCGCCAGTAATCGCTGATATTTATAACTCATCCTTACGTGATTCCTATTTGCCTCCTCTATTAAAGAGAGCAACTGTTACACCTCTTCCCAAACAATCTCCACCGGGCTCCATTGAAAATGGTATCAGACCCATCTCACTCACTTGCGAAATTGCTAAAGTGATGGAAGGTCGCACCTTAGCGAGAATCCTGCCATTCATTATAAGTCACTTGGATAACAAACAATTTGCTATGGCTGGAAAATCTACGCAACAGGCTATAGTATATATTCTCCATCTAGCCCTCGAGGGCCTTGACAAGGGTGGTTGCACCCTCCGATTTTTCTTTGCTGATTTCCGCAAGGGATTCGATCTGATTGACCACAAGATTCTACTTGAAAAACTATCTAAACTTGGCACTCATAACGTTGTGTTAGGATGGATCGCTGCCTTTTTATATAAAAGGTCTCAGTTCGTTCGTATTGGGTCGGATGCATCTACACTTCAATATATCAATGGTGGTATTCCACAAGGTACTAAGCTTGGCCCGATCCTCTTTGCCGTAATGGTGAATGAACTTTTGTCTGCGTGGGGCCCCCGTGCTAAGTTCGTTGATGATCTTACCACTTTGGAAATTGTACCTAGAAATTCCCCTTCCTTGATGAATCAT